ACCTCTTGCCTACCTTGCCCCCATGACACCAGAAGGGCCTTCTCCCTCCTTCCCAATTTTGAGACTCACATCTTAGAGGATGGGATGATGCTCACCTGACAATGTGTGTGCATGGGTGGGTCATTTGGTTGGTAATTAACTGGCTCCAAATTACACACATTGAATGGCAAATACAAAGGGTCCATACTTGGATTTCTGCCCTTTTTTGCATTAAAATGCACACAAGCTGCAAGAAGGGCAAAGTCATATTTCATATGCAATGTATGTATTTTGTATCCAGATATACATGCAGATATATATTTGTTGCCTTCAAGACATTTCTGACATAATGGCAACCCTAAGGTGTATCTATCACCAGCAGCGTTCCAAACTAGGATGTCACCTGGTGCAGGTGCAGGGCTTGGGGCGGAGCCAAAAGGGCATGCTCCCAATTCATTGTCCCATGTAGCACGGCAGGGTGGGAAAAGGCCCAGCTCCCCTGTCCCTCCCGCATGAAGCTTTATTTGTAAGTAAAGCCTTGCATGGCAGGGACGGGAGATCCAGGCCTTCTCCTTCCCTCCCTCCCATGTGACACTTTATTTGCAAGTAAAGCCTTGCACAGCAGGGAGTTGGAGGGGTGCTCATCAGTGGTCACCCCCTTTCTGTAGTGTCACCCGGTGAGGTCCGCACCCCCTGCACCCCCTAGTGATGTTACTGCCTATCACAAGATTGTTCAGAGGGGGTTTGCCTTTGTCTTCCTCTGAGGCTGAAGGAGTGTGACTTTCCCAAGGTCACCCAGTGTGGGATTCAAATCCTGGTGTCCCAGTGTCCTAGTCCAACACTCAAACCACTATACAATGCTAGCTGTTATTCTCATACATAGCAATAGCAATAGGAATAGCAAGAACATTTCTATACTGTTTATCAGTGCACTTAAGCACTCCCTAAGCAGTTTACAATGTGTAAGTTAATACATAGCTAGCTGGCTAGTGTTGTGTAGTATTGGACCAGAGCTCAGGCATACAGCGGTTCAAATCCCTACTGGATTACCTGAGGCAAGATAAACTCTCTCAGCCTTAGAAGAAGGCAATGGCAATACATCTTGCCAAGAAAACCCTATGATAGGGTCACATCACAGAGTAGTCTCTGACAATGCTGGCTCTTCAGCTTAGTAACAGAGATGAGCACCACCCCCTACGGCCGGACACGACTTGACAGCCTTGTCAATGGGGAATACATAACTCAGAGTTGACTCAAAGGGACATAAAAACAACCATGCATATTTTATATTCTACAGTGAATTTTTTAATTTATATACACAGAGCCATACAATGAAAATAAATACGTATTTTAAGTGATCATCCTTCTGTGACTCAGAACAAACTTGTCAGAAGTACTGTACAGAAGTAGTTTGTTTTTAAATCACGTATTTATATTCTACAGAAGTATGTATTGTGCAATACACTTCTTAAGAACTGAACCTGCATTTGAGAGAAAATTATGATATTTTCTTGTTATATTTTACAATATAAACAGTAACTAGTCCATTATTAGTTCCTACAGTTTCTCCACTAGGAAAGTAACTTTGTGAAGTAAGTTATCTATAATGCAAATCTATGAAGGAAATACAAGGACGGACATAAAGCTATTATTTCTTAATCTTCTCCTTATTTCAAATTATAGAAGCAGCCCCAGAAATCAGTTTCTCTGCAATCATTACTTTGCACAAAGTAAGTGAATTATTTTATATATATATATATATATAATGCTGACAAACTCTGTGGGTTTTTTGTTAAATTAATGCAGTTAAGGAAAGATTCAAGCAACCTGGTATATGAAGCCCCTTCCACCACAACAAAGGCTAAGGGCCTGAGCAGATGGGCAGAAAAAAGTGGCTCAAACCTGCTTTTTCTGAAGGCAGGTTGAACCCCCACTGCCTGCACAGCCCACTCCCAAGGCAGGACAAATGCATACAGCCCAACCGCATGGCATGGCATGAAGCCAAGTTGCTGGGTAATTTTTGTTGTTGTTGTTGCCTCTCCACCATGCATGCACATTGTCACATAAACAGAATGCTATTTGTTCAACCACCCCAAAGTACCTGCTACTGCCCACCCAGATGCCATCCCATTGCATGGCTGCCCCTTTGATTGGCCACACAGTCCCATGTGCAACGCTCTGCCTATACAGGGCATTGTTGCATTTGGTGTGTGAGCAATACATTGGCAAAGCATAATCATGGAGGGCTCCCCTACATGCCCCCTTCAGCCTATGCCCCCCTATTGGACTGTCTGGTAATTACATCCATTGGAGTTGTTGCACTTTCATTTCTTTGCTTTGCAGCAGTCCGGCACTCACATCAGGCCATTTATATGCAGAGGCAAAGATGCACATCTTCTGTGCTAAGCCAAACTATCCTGGGTCTGTTTGTTCTGGTTTTTAGCCCCAGAGTGCAGCTTCAGTCTGGTTTCCACCTGCTTTGGAAACATGTGTCATCTAAACACCCCACCTTCAAAGCAGTTGGAAACCACTTTATTTGGTCCATCTGCTCAGTTCTTATGTTTTGCATCCTGTTGCTCCTGGCAGCAGTCTCTGGAAAGCCCACAAGTAGAATAAATAATCTAGCTTAGTAGTTTTTAAATGAGAAAACTGAAATAGTCAAAGAGTTCCCATACCTTGGATTAAATATTAACGAAAATGGAAGCTGCAGTCAAAATATTAGAAGACTAGGATTGAGAAGAGTAGCTATGAGAAAACTGGACAAAATCCTAAAGTGTAAAGATATAACTCTGAACACTAAAGTGAGGATCATCCATTGTATTCCCCATCACCATGTATGGATCTGAGAGCTGAACAGTGAAGAAAGCCGATAGGAAGAAAATCAACTTATTTAAGATGTGTGATGGAGAAAAGCGCTGAGGACACTGTGAACAGGCAAGAAGACAAATATATGGGTTCTAGAACAGATCAAGCCCAAATTCTCCTTGGAAGCCAAGTTGACAAAACTGAGGCTGCCCTACTTTGGCTACATCATGAAAAGGCATGGATCATTAGAAAAGACAATGGGGCTAGGAAAGGTAGAACATAACAGAAAAAGAGACAGACCACATGCCAGATGATTCAATTTATTTAGGGAGGCCACAGGTCTGAATCTACAGGAACTAAACAGAGCTGCTGAGGATAGGGAGAATGAGAGATGTCTCATTCACAGGGTTGCCATAAGTTGAGGACAACTTGAGGGTAGTTAACAACAGCAAAGTAGTTTTTATCTTGCAGGTAATCACTTTTAGGGATGTATAAAAATATGAAGAATGGATTTCACATTCCATAATTACAATTGTTTGTATTTAAAGCCTGAGTTGTTGTTGTTTTATTGCAAACACTGGTTTTATAGGGTTCAATCTAGCTAAAACTGGATGATCAACAGTTCAGGAAAACTAGACAAAAGAACCCAGTTTCTATATCTGGCAATCAAATTATTTTAAAGTAGCAAGGCTAGTCATTTCCCTGACATCTTGAAGAGCTGCCATCAGTCCAAAGGAGAAGTATGTTTATTAATATTAAAGAATAAGAATTAAACCTGCCTGAACTTTGTGATTGTGTGTAGTTAAGTTAGGCAATTTTAACATTTGCTGGTCAGCGCACAATGAATGTCACTGGAATGGATCTGTAGTTACCGAGTAAAGGCTTTCTAAGTCCTGCAGGACATGACAAGAAGGCAATTGTGGGTGTCTCAATGCGCCATTAGTCTTATTCAGTGTCTTCAAGTTAGGTGAATTTACACCTCCCTGGTTGCTATGGTAGAAAGTTCAGCCTATACTTAAGACTGCCATTCAAATCTATAGAATGCTTGACTCTGGCTGTCTTAATGCTTCTGTGGTTAGAATGCCTTTCACCTGACTTCAAATTACTTGCCAATTTTTGCATATGTTAGAGAAGAAAAAGAAGCAAGTTAAACATAAAGACCAATTTTGACTTTTTAAAAATCCATTTCTCCCTATTTTATATTTGTAAAGAGAAGAAGAACAGCAGTACCTTAAGCTTCTACAGGAAGTCACAGATGACATTTTGATGAAAAGCTGTTACCACGAGAAGTAAGTCCTTATACTTTTTTAAATCATTAGCTAATTTGTTAAAATACAGAAACAAATTATCATTATTATAACACAAACAACATGTATTCCTGACCTGAATTACTTTCTACATTAGGATCTTTCACATAATGGAATTTAAGAATATATACCAAATGCATACATATATACACCCAGTAAACACCACCACGTGTGCCATAACTCAAACAGGATGGCACTGTGGACATGAGAAGAGGGAGAAATGTGTTTAAAATTCTTCTCTGAAGCTATTTTTTATATCTTAGCATGCATCCAGAATGATTAAAAAGACTAGAAAGTCCCTGATTCTGTTTCGATTCTTTCTGATTTTATTTTGAAAAGCTGTACACATTTTGTTCATCCAAGAATATTTTCTGTCCATTTCCAGTATGATCATAACCTTTTTATGCCAGATCCCCAGGTCAGTTTCTTTTAAACCAGTATAAAATTGGAAAGAACAGGAACAAAATTTTGGTAGAAATAAGCAAAGCAAAGCAAAGCAGCTTCATTTATATACCGCTTCATATCGCGCATGGGATGTCTAAGCAGTTTATAACTGTGAGCTGATTGCCCCCCCAACAAGCTAGGTACTCATTTTAGCGACCTCGGAAGGATGCAGGCCTGAGTCTAGCCTTAGCCCTGGCTGGTATTGAACTCGCACATAAGGTCTGTGTATATTGTCAGTGCTCTCTATTTTCTTTATATCAGTGTAACTAATCTTATTGGCAATATAAGTAGGGTCACAAAAAATGGTGCAAAGCAACCACTCTAGTGAGAAAAAACATTCTAGTACAGACTATAGTATATAGACAGTTCCCCTGAATATGTTGTCTCTAGCTAGCTAAGGCAAAAATATTCAGGGGAACTGTCTATATACTGCAGTCTGTACTAAAAAATTTTTTTAAGGTGAGAGCCAATGTGGTGTAGTGATTTAAATGTTGGACTATGACTCTGGAGACAAGGGTTCAATTCCCTGCTTGGACATGAAACCCACTGAGTGACCTTGGGCAAGTCACATGCTGTCAAGCCTCAAGGGATGGCAATGGCAAACCTCCTCTGAACAACTCTTGCCAAGAAAACCCCATGATAGTTTCACATTAGGGTCACCATAAGTCAAAAACAACTTGAAGGCACACAACAAATACACACAGAGACAGCTAGCTTAGGTAGAAAGTTGACTCGGCTTAAGTGATATATAGCCTGTAAGATATATTCACTAGGGATCACATTGCAAACATACAATGGCTAATGGAGCGCACCAGGGAATTCCAAAAGAAAATCAGCAGGTACTTTATAGACTATAGACCATGAAAGGCTATGGAACGCCCTTAAAGACATGGGAGTGCCAGCACATCTGACAGTCCTGGTGAGGAATCTGTTCTCAGGACAAGAGGCTATTGTCAGGACAGAACATGGAGAAACAAAATGGTTCCTAAGTGGCAAAGGAGTCAGACAAGCCTGCATCCTA